TAAGCTTAGCCCTCAGAGGTTGATTTATGCCATCGCAGAAAAACTCTATCAATAAACAGTCCGGTAACTCAGAATAGTGAGCGATGGCTAAATACTCTCGGATATAGTTCTCCAGTGATCGTGGACCCTGTTTAAGGGCTAACAAAATTCTTGCGGTGTCCATACCTGGCCAATGCTCCTCAGAAAAGCTGCTGGATCCTTGTTGGGCTGAGTATTCTGTAACGGGGCTGACCAGACGTGAGACATGTGGATCCATATGCAGGCTTTATTTTAGAGACGTAGAAAACAGGCAGGGTCAAAACACTGGCAAACAGGTATATGGAGGGCAAAACACAAGAATAGTCACAGGGCTAGCGTAGGTCACCGATGAGCAGACAGAATCACAGGGGCGAGACGAGAGGGAGAAATCCAGGAAACCAGGCAAAGATCAAAAACAGGCAAGGCAAGGCAAAACAAAGAAAACACGGAGACTCGGAAAGGGGTACAGGCTAAACAATACTCAGCAGAGAAATGTGGTTAGAGTGAGTGTTATATAATGAGTGAGGTAATTAGAAACACCTGTGTGCAATCAGAGCAAGTTATATACATATGTGTATGTGTATAGTTTTAATGTTGTTTTCCTGCAGATAAATTAATTCTATAATATATTTAAAAAATTAAATTATTTAAAAAAATATTATCCCCAAAATGTGTAAAAAAAACTAAACATTTTATACAAACCTAAATTAACCTTTTATAAAAACCTTTAAATAAGTTTTAGTTCATATAGTTCTAGTTAGTTTGATACTTCAACTTAAAATAAATGAAATGTTGCTGTGACAACTAGCTGAAATATTGTTTAAAATTTCTGATAATTTACGTTTGCTTTATTTCAAGTCATTTTTTGAATGGTTTCAGTTTTAGTTGACGGTAATAACCCTGAATGTGACTAAAGAGATATTTTGCACAGCAACTATATATATATATATATATATATATATATATATATATATATATATATATAGACATATATCTGCTACATGGGAGGGAGTGGG